ACTCACCTCTATTTTGATACTGATTGGTTGAAAAGCAACACGGCTTTTCTTTCGTCGCTGGGTTGGAGCTTTCGTGGGTACAGCTATACTTTCCACCTCCCTTTCACGCTTCAATGACTTGTCAAACGCTTGCGATTTCGAATGTCGTAGGGAGCGTGTTGATAATCTGAACAAGTTAAATACTGTACTCGGTATACGGCCTTTTGCTTCTTTTTATAGTTTAGTTTTCAAGTATAGCATGGAAACTGTCTAGCCGAACAACGAGTAGTTGCGCTTGTTCCATTGTGCAGCACTTCTTCAGCGTATAACCCGCTTTGTGGTGTGTCTTCCCTCTTATTTTATGGTGCCACTTCTCCAGATTTAACAACTAATCGAGATGGGTCCCAAGGTGCAGCGTGCCCAACCATACTGCTTGGGGCGTTCCTTGAACCCAAAATTTTCGGACACCTCGAGCTCATGACTAGTCCACGGACGGCGTCGGAAGTCGTGCTCAGTACGTGGCCATGCCATCGAAATGAGCTTTCGATGGTATAACTATGACACATGGCCAGTTTATTTCGTTACGCTTGAAATTTGGCACTTCGTCATTGTTCTAGCAAAAAAAATGCCAACGGAAGACGATCAGGCTAAGGTCAGAAAGAGAGCATGGTCAGAACTCAGCTTGGAATTTTCCAGGAATATGTGGCAGATATGCAAAAAGCAACCAAACCCCACCCAACTCAAGAAAAACTCAAGGTTGACGAAGAGGGTGAGTTAAATGGTAATTGATCAGAGGCAGGCTTTAAACTGCGGCGAGAGTAATTCGGCTCCCTTTTTTTTCAAAACCCAAAAAAATTTGAACCTCGGAGCAAATCTATTATTCAAGTTCTTATAAAAGGACGAGGATAGTCTTCATCGTTGATCAATCTTTCTGGGATGTAGGACACATTCTACTCCATTCTCAATCGTACTGGCTTACTCAGTGCGATGGGGCCTGCACAATGAAACGCGGGAGCCGGCCGATGATTAGTCAGTGAATCCTGGTACTTGCCATTCCGGGAGAATAGAAGGTTCAATGGCATGGGCGGGAGCCGATCTGGGGCCACTTAATATTACTCTACTCTGCCTCTTTTCCTTTTAGGTTCACATTACTAAGAAAAAGATGCGGAATGCACCATTTCTGTACTGGATGAGGAACTATTTTTGAAAGTTCAAATAATACAAAGAAGCTTTTGACATTTACCAGCTTCTTTCTGAATGCGCCACCCACCCTACTTCCACTCAAACTCGTAAGGGCTTTTCAGTGCGATTTAGATTACACATAACTTGCTAGGCTAGCCGATATAAAGTTCAGTGTTTTTATATCAATACGAGCTTGGGACTAATCGACCGGTCCAGAAGGATGGGAGGTTCAGTTGGAAAAAGTGGGAGCTGATAGCGGTTTGGGATCCAGGACTTGATCCAAGGATCGTGAGCTTAACAAACGGGGCCTTTTCCTACAGCGCTGCCTCCACTAGCGGGATAAAAGTGGTGTACGTAGATTTTTAGTCAAACTAGTCGCACTGTCGCGATATGAACCTGGATAATATGAAACTAAAAAAA